AAGCAGCTGGAGCGTCACTTCCTCGTACGACTATAGTGCATTTGCTGGTATGTTTACCGTACTACGTACGCACATGAATCGCTCATGCATCAACGTCATTCATTGAGGCTCGTACGCGAAGCGACCCAGCTGTAAGTGTAGCTTTTCCTTATTTTATCGCATACAACCAGCCGATCGAGTAACCTCGGTGGGGTCTTGGTTCCGTATTCTAGAACGTTCCTCAACTCAACACTCCACCTTCACTTGAGAAAACCGATGGTAGCGCCGCCTGTAATCATGAAAAGCCACTGCACATCAGCGATAATCTGCTGCGATTCTTGAGTAGCGTGGTGCCATTTTCAGCCGAGCGGCGGCGCAGTGCTCAACTCTGTCAAGTGAAGGGTGAAAGTCGAGTCGAGGAGCGTTTGTGAATGCGGGCCTTAGTTCCGTTTAGGAAGGAGTGTTTGCGTTAGAACCTTTCGTAAGAGCACACGAGAGCCATTGAGTCGGGATGCCGCAAGCAATTTTAGCGGGGGTGGCCAGCTAAAAAAAAAACAAAAAAAACCTACACATACGTACAAGAAGCCTTGAGAATCTGGTCCCTCGGGAAGAAACATTGATGTGGATCGCTCTTTGTACTTTGATTGTTTGCTGTTTTTATCAGTCATATCAAACTATGCGCTCGTTGTGACTCATTTATGATATTTATTATATGGCTTATGAAATGATCGTGCGGTATTAGTTCCTCTTCGTTTGCGATCTTGTTCAGACTAGAAGCGCATAGGCAAGAGCGCGCTTTGGAATTATTATGAACCACCCCGATTTCTTAATGAGCTGTACTTTAATGCACTAATAAGGCCTCGTGGGCAATTTTAAGGTGTTTGAACCGTTCGAATAAAATTGGGTTTGGGTGAGTGTTCACAAAGCAGCTGTCGGCGAGAAGCACGTCCTCGATTCTGCATATTGATTCTCAGCGCCACCTCTCGATAAAACAAGCCATTACGGCTCTTTTGCCTCGGCCGTCTGGATCGGGCGCGCGCTGCAACCACCACCGCGCGCGCCCGATTCAGGCGGCCGTGCCTTTGCGCGGCTTCTTTGCACATCGAGTAAACTCGGCCGCACGGAGGATTTTGTTACAAAGCTTTCACGAGGGCTGACGTTTCTGCCATGCATCGCCCGAAAACAGCGCAAGTGTACGCGGACGTTGAGCGCGCCAACGTTGTGTGCGGCTATTTTAACGCGGCAGCGTTTAATAGAGAGTTTTAGTACTGCGTACGTGGCGGCGTTGCGTACGTAAGGACGCCACGTTCTGCGCAGTGCGCATGCGTAGACCGCAACGCGCACGTATCGCATTTCCGTACGCAGCCGCTACGTACGCACGCATGAGATGCGTGCGTGCGTACGTATGAGGTGATCGCGCCGCTCTATAGAACAAGTTCGCGACAGCGCGAGACTTCGTTTTGCAAAATGGCGGCATCGAAGGCAAGCACTGACCGGCTCTGTGGCTTAAAATATGGCCATAATCTGGCTATAATTTAGAAGTGTGGCAGCTTGGGCTAGTTGGTATGGCATGACGATAGTTATAGCGATAGTTATAGTTTTCGTGCTATAACTATTGTCTGGCTATAACACTTGGATTGGCTAACATTGGCTGTCAACAACACGTGCTTCTATTTTGATCTACCAGATGGCGCAACACGCTTCACGCTCGTTACGTACGCGGGTACTACGGCGTACTAAAAGCCGATTAGTGGCAAACCACGCCACGTAACGCAAGGCCTTTGCGTGATGCGTACGTAGCACCATTCCGCAGTACTAAAACTCTCTAATAGCTCGTTCCGCAGAAATACTGGCGTTGGCGTCGTCGGTGGAAAATCGGTGTTTCCCGTCAGCAAAAATTTGAAATAGATGCACAGTAATTAATTAAATAAATAAATAATAAAATAATTAGTCATTATTATACACGGATTGAATCGAAATGGAACCCAACGCCTTCTGTGTGGCAAGCAGATATGCAGAACACGGAGACACAGAGCGACACCATTGCTAGTTTCTTCGAAAAAGAAAAAAAACTATACAAATTTCGCGTAGCGCAGAATCACATCAGGCGTCAAAATAAGTGAATATCACTCTTAAAGTGGCTTCTCTAAGGGTACACTCATTACAAAGCGCCAGAAGTATTTAATCATAAGAGTTAATCTACAAAAACATCAACAAAAGGGGCATCTGAACAGGTGCTCGTGGGGCTTGACGGACACTTAGTGTATTTATCTAATTCGGAAGTGGAAGCGTTATGGCGCAGTCGGCACCTCGGTATTTGAAGTAATTTTTTAGGGTTAAGTTGAAACAGCCTGTGTATGCTATTACTTATACCATTGTAGAGGTAGAGTCGCATACACCGAGGAGCGAGAAGACCCCTGGGATGAGAAGGCAATGAGGACGGGTGACGACTGCGCTATCCCGTTCTACTCTCGAAGCTAAGCTGAAACGTCCTCCAAGCTTTTCCTGTATTCGTCATTATAGTGGGGCGCTATTCTTCCTCCGCACAAAAGTTTTGCCTGTGTTCACCACTCCACCCGAGGCACGACGTTGCTATATACGACACTGACTCGAAATGAAATCCGGAGTGTAGAACTTATCTAGAGGAAATCTTGGTCTGACGTATTCACTTTTGAATCGTTTAAATGCAACGTTGAATGTCATTTTACTGCGTGACAGAGCGCTTTCGTTTTCATTTTTACGTTCAGGCTTGTGCATATGCGATAATCTGACGTCAGCTTCGATTATTCTGGAACACTAAATAAAGTTCACAATGGAATGAAGTGTGAATGTGTCTCCGTTTCTTGCTGCAAATGACGTCAAAGCGGGAGCCTGGTGTAGCGACATGAGAAACAGTTGCTTTCCATAACGATTCCATCGCAGACTTTATTTGGTTATGAATGAGGCAGACAAAGCCTGCTAGATTATTTTTATAGGAAAGCATGACTAAGCTCTCAAAATGACACTTAAAGAGAAACAGTTTCTTGGTTTAGAAAGATGTAGTGGATTCTGAGAACTCTAATACGATATGTTCTACTATCACAAGTTCATTATTAGCAGAGAAAATCAAGGTCGAAAATGTCCTTTTTGAATTTCCCACCGCAATTTCTGCGCATGACGTCAGAAATTTCAAAGTGCCCCGCCGCGGTGGTCTAGTGGCTAAGGTACTCGGCTGCTGACCCGCAGGTCGCGGGTTCGAATCCCGGCGGCGGCGGCTGCATTTCCGATGGAGGCAGAAATGTTGTAGGCCCGTGTGCTCAGATTTGGGTGCACGTTAAAGAACCCCAGGTGGTCGAAATTTCCGGAGCCCTCCACTACGGCGTCTCTCATGATCATATGGTGGTTTTGGGACGTTAAACCCCACAAATCAATCAATCAAATTTCAAAGTATGTTTTTTTTTTGTATTTTTGTGACAATGAGTCTTTTCTTTTCTGAAACTTCGTATGCTAAGTCTATGGCACCCACAGGTGACAATGTATTTAATTTTTATTGCTAAGAAGACACGTATTTACCAAAAAAAATTTTTTGGTGTTCTGATTTTTTTATACAAATTCTATTCTGTTTGTATACTTTCTCCCGTTAGACCCCCTACTAGCCTATGGCTATGAGTCTAATCAGTGTTGTGCATTTCATGAAATGTAATCAAAACAACCTTAATAAAATCTAAATCTAATCTAGGGCCCAGTAGACCCCATAAACATTTTCTACGTCATGGTGTTTGGTGTGGGAGTCTCAAAATGGTGTCTTCTCTCGATTTTTTTTTTCGCGCGTTTTTCCACTTACCAAGCGTCGTGTCACTTTAAAAGTGTTTTTTTTTTGTGTGTGTGTGTGTGCTTGCGAAATTGTATTTTGCTTATACGCAAAAAATCATTTTGCTGCTTTGCTGTTTAGTGTCCGTTTAACACTAGACAAAGTCCTCGCTGACGGGTTTTCAATGATTTCATGTTCTCAAACATTATTACATTTAATAAACACGATGTACATTGTCCACAAAAATGTGTACACTTAACAGTGACACTTATACCTACAGCCTTGCTCTTGGAACTCGTTGGCGTTTTGGCGCGAACACAACCGCGTACAAATAGCCCGTTGGTATAGCGTTTCGCCCTGTATAGAGAGGGAGTATGTGCCCCGCGCATTTTCTATGATGTATTTGTCACATTCCCATTAAATAGGAACTTACACACATGTGTGTGATATGCGCTAGGAGATTCGTGGTGATGAAGGCTTTGCACACTGTAGGCGGCGGTGAGATTATGGCTGCCGATATGGTCACAAAATGTGCGATTGTCTGCGTGAAAGTGCCAAAATGAAGTGCATGTTTGTTTTGTGTAGCTAACTGATAAGTTGTTCCCAAATGACTTGCAGAGGCATTCGTCCTATTGTCGTATGTGTTTTCTAATATATGTATCATCTGGTCTTCTGAGGTCCTGCCTTCTAATCTGATCTGTAATCGGGTCCATGTATAGGTGGATGGGACAGTAATCTCGGGGCAGTGCCTACTTCGACTAATGGAGGAATTCAGTACACGACATTGTATTCACTTTTCTCCCAGATATAATAGCAACCAGTGGCTATAGTGGGGGTGTTTAGGTCTTGCAATGCCTCAGATACTTCAGCTAGAGTTGAGGAGGTCAGAGAGTTCTTCCGAATCTGGCATAAAATGTTGCCTTCCGTACCTTTATATGCGTGCATGTTTGTGGAAGTCCCACTGATATGTATTGGTATAGCTGATGGCGCAGCGTGTCTAAATTGGTCCTCCGATTTTGTCAGCGCATATGGTATAGTAACTGTGGCATTTCTAAATTTATCGCAATCGACTGAAGTTGGTACTGTCGCATTGTTTGGCGAATTGTGACAGATCAGAGTGATTTGTACAACTACAACTGTTTAGTGACGCGTACATCAAGTGTAATTAACGGTTCGATTATGTCTTATACTCGGTAAGCGTTTCTCATTTCGCTTTGAACATGTGTTGCAGCTGCACAACCACTGTGCGCCGCAAGTGAAGCCGGACTGCGGCCTTGGACCACACCGAGACCATATCCTGCCGCCAACATCCATATGTCCCGCTGTTTTGGTAAGTAGTACGCTAAACAGCCAAACGTTAATCGCTGCTGCGAATACTGGATTTGATGTTTGCACGTATACCACCCCTCTGAAAAACTTGCTCAAGCAGTTTCTAGGTTAATGATGAGGGCGTCGCCACGTATCTGACGGTGAACAGAATTATATTTTCAGATAAGTGTAGTTATTGTGCATTGTTTCCAAACCAACTTATTTCGTAATGTATTGGCGTGCCTCGCTATCTAGATGAGCAACGTATTTCTTCAGTAGTTAACTTCTTAAAAGTTTTATGTAGCAATTTTCCTCGAAATGAAAAATTCCACGCACTGCAGCGAGGCGGAGACTAATATTATTCAATTATATATGGACACTCTCGGCTAAATTTTGCCGCCGGCGTCGATGTCGTGCACCGTATATGTATGTATACGTATGGATATATATGAAAACGCAAAAAAGAAAAGAATCCAAACGAAAGCACTCCGGCGCGCGTAATCCAATGTGGGACCTCTGCGTCGTGAAAGCGAGGCGTTAGCCACTGAGCCACCCCGGAGAACGTTCTTCACCGTTCAAACGGCAAGCTATTTATATCTAACACTTACCGCTGCTGTGTTTTCTGCATTACCAGAAAGATTGCGCAATAAGCGCACGTCGCCACATTGCGCGGCAGCGCCCGCTCTAATCTCCTACGCGTTTTTTGCCCGGCTTAGAGAAGGGGAGCGACGTATATTCTAGGCAATATAGCGACGCTCTTTTGCGCGCCCTTATCTCGTGGTGGCGAGGAGGGGAGGATCGTACGCCTTGGCTGGCCTCGGGCTTTACGTGGAACGATTCTGCTGTAGTTACCGGGCGCACAAAGGTCACTGCAATCATTGCAATCTCCCTTCGCGAAAAGCGCGCGCTTTTCAGACTCGGAGAAGTAACAAATGAGACGCTTATTCGCGTGCATCCGTACCTGTGAGTACGTTTCGTGCGCAATTTGTGCGCGAGAAACGCGGGGCACGTTTCGATCTGCTTTTCATTCTGCGCGTGACCTTTCAAATTGTTGCTATCGCGTTGATTGCTTCGCCTTTGCGGCAAAGCTGTGACTTTTTTATGCCGCTTTACAACAGAAGATGTCAACGTCCCAACGTATCCAGCATCGTACAAGCAATCACCAAAACACTCTGGCATGTAACGTAGCGGTATGCTACAGGCCACAGCGCCGCTTGCAGCTATTACAAATGCCTACAGCGTTATTTCAAGGAAAAGCGATCTTGAATGGCGCCGCTGAGAGCGTTGAAATGTCGAGCAGTAGTGGCTCATTCTGTGGTGATGTGCAGACGTGCACTTTGCGCGAAGTTTTAAAATATCATCTCGTCCTCGTGAACATGTGAAGGTTTGGTCGAGTTTTTGTGCGTATAAGCAAATTAGGACTAGCCCTCGTTAAAAATGTCTGCGCTCCTTCTTTCCGTAACAGAACAGCAAACTGGCCGACCCTGGCCAATAGTGTTCCTCAATAGCTCCTCAATAGTGAAATATTTAGGAGGCAAGAAAATGGCAACAATGTTCCAACAAAGAATATATGTACAGTGTAGTTACTGTGACACGTAGCTATCACTCAATTGGGGGAAGAGTACCGCTATACAGAACAGTTGCTACAATACGTAAGTATGCTATGTACGAGACCATATAAATATATGTTATGGTACTTCCGCAACCCTAATCTCACTTCCATGTTGTAAGTGGGGGGTGGCCAAGTGCGCATATGTGCGTACTAGTACCTCGCCAAACGCATAACTCACACATGAGCATCGGTGGTTAGCACAGTTTAATGCTGGCTAAGTGATGGCTCATGTGACTGATGGCTAGTGCTGGCTATAGGAAGGAAGGAAGGAAGGAAGGAAGGAAGGAAGGAAGGAAGGAAGGAAGGAAGGAAGGAAGGAAGGAAGGAAGGAAGGAAGGAAGGAAGGAAGGAAGGAAGGAAGGAAGGAAGGAAGGAAGGAAGGAAGGAAGGAAGGAAGGAAGGAAGGAAGGAAGGAAGGAAGGAAGGAAGGAAGGAAGGAAGGAAGGAAGGAAGGAAGGAAGGAAGGAAGGAAGGAAGGAAGGAAGGAAGGAAGGAAGGAAGGAAGGAAGGAAGGAAGGAAGGAAGGAAGGAAGGGAGGAAGGAAGGGAGGAAGGGAGGAAGGGAGGAAGGGAGGGAGGGAGGGAGGGAGGGAGGGAACATACAAAGGGAGAAGACAGGGAGGTTAACCAGAAAGACATCTGGTGGTCTACTCTACACTGGGGGGATTAGGGAAGGAGACTAAAAATATGAAAAAGAGGAAAGAGAAGGAAAAGGGAGAGACAGGCAGTAAATTCACTGCAGCTTGTAGAACTCCACCGCATGTCAGAGGCGTCAACACAAACCCGTCGTCCTCGAAAAAATCACAGCATATATATCTACGGAATACATGATGATGAGAGGGGCGAAGCAACCGTCAGTCCGTCCTTTGCGTCCGTCCGTCCGTTAGTTCTTGCTTCTGTCCGTACGTGCAACCGTCCGTCCGTCCATCCATGCGTCCGCCCACCCGTCCGTGCGTTCATTCGTCCGTCCGTGCGTCTGTCCATCCTTCCGTTCATCTATTGAACACTCCAAGTACCGCCATTTCGCATATTTTCATGGTATATTCATCACATACAAGTACCGCCATCCAGCGGACATTCCAAGGACTAAACGAGAAGTCGCATGGTCGGACTAGAGAAGCGGCACGCGCGCACTCTTACGGCCTGCGTTTCGTGTCTAATTCACGCCTTTCGCCGCCTACAGTTCATGGCACTGCGACCCAACCCTCGCAAAACCTTGCTAAAACCAAGGAGAATACACCCAGCGAGTTAAACATGGGAACCTTTTCTGGTCAGATACTGCTCAAAGTACGTCTTTCAGTTAGTAGTTCTTTTTAGTAAGCATCAAATTAAAGGCAAATTGTATTCAAGATTAAGTCACCGATACTCGTCTCTGTAGGCTATTTCATCAGAAACAACTACCATTTTATTTATGATTAACGTGCGTGGGTTTCCTGCTCAATTCAAAAGAATGCGTGCGTGCCGCTCCGTCAGTATGGCCGTGGAGGTGGCTACCTACTACTACTACTACTACTACTACTACTACTACTACTACTACTACTACTACTACTACTACTACTACTAATACTACTACTGCTACTACTACTACTACATGCATTGCGGATGCACGACCCACGGCTTAAGGAGCTTCGCCCCTAAAAACACAAGAGGGCTTTCACTGCCGTGTGGGCTGTGGTCGAGGGATTTGGACGGTGCTGTAATGCACCTGTACAGAAAATGGCCGATCATCCGGTCACTGCAATTTGTTGGCAAGTACTTGTTTCTCCGAGTCGAATCTAGGACAGTGGCACAGCAGGTATTCGATGTTTTAGATGTGTGTTAAGTTGGTATTGGTTGGCAAATGTTTAAATGAATAAGTAGTGTTTGCACATTGTAATTATTAGGGGTCTCAGTCGCATTTTTTATATTGTCTTGCGGCTTTTATGTTGGCAGCTAGTTGAAAGTGCTTTCGGCTTACAGGAGAGACAACGAAGCGTCGGCAGTGGCCAGAAAAAACAGCTCTCTAGGTCAGATTCAAACAAGATTTCTGACAGCGGCCAAGGCAATGTGAGTTACGACTGTGTTGGCTCGAGTGCATTTTTTTTGTGTCATGGATTGATTAATGTTAATATTGCCCTTGTTTCCATTCAGGTTTCCGCCATGTCATTCCAAGTCACACCCCTCTCTGGAACCCATCCCCTTCTAGTACTCATCAACCCCAAAAGCGGAGGTCGACAGGGTATGAGGTCAGTGAAGCAAAGCTTCTCATTCGCTTAATATATGTACCGATGCGCTAGTTGGTAAGCTATAATTATTGAAGAGGCATCGCGCAGCAGGATAAGGAACAACGACATATAGAAGACGCTAACTGCTGTGCTTGCATCATCAGTTGTAGTACAGCGCTTATGTCTGCGCCTGTTATGTGTGCCTGTTTCGTATCCTTCTGTGGGCTGCTTCTTAAAAAATCACTTCTTGTTCGATGTTTTGCCACTGGTAGTCAGTTTAGCGAACCACTCTAGCCGCTTCGTGGAACTGATTTTATAAATGACATTTTCTAAAATATTTGTTGTTAAAAATAAATTTCACTGTAATACTGAATTTACAAGAAAAAAAACTGGCAAAAACACGAAAATTTGTGAAATTGTTTACAAGCAGTGAACTTGCAACGAAAAAAAAAACGTTTTTCATGCGAAATCCAAGTGAATAATAGGCTATTGTTGTGAGAAGCACGCCAGTGCCATCGCATGTATTGCACCTCAATGTGTACGAGACGAAGCCAAAAGAAAGCAGTTGGCGTTCACCTAACTCTGGAGAGCTGTTTACGTAAGTTAAGTTGGACTTTTGTTATGGTGCGTTATACGCACATCTGTTCAGTTAGAACGGTAACGTGTTTGTGCGCACAACGTATTGATTTGATGCCAGCTGGGCAAGCCATAATGCTGTTCTCGCCCCAGCAGAATCGATTTTGCGGAGCGTGATCGTGTGTCTTCTGGTTTTGTCGTTTTTGGTTCTAAACGCAACTGCACATTCATGGAGATGTCATCGTCTGGGCGCGGACCGCGCATGCGTCGTCGACATTACAACACGGAGATCGCGGTTTCAAATCCCGGCTGCGGCGGCTGCATTTCCGGTGGAGGCGGAAATGTTGTAGGCCCGTGTACTCAGATTTGGGTGCACGTTAAAGAACCCCAGGTGGTCAAAATTTCCGGAGCCCTCCACTACGGCGTCTCTCATAATCATATATATGGTGGTTTTGGGCGTTAAACTCCACAAATCTAATCTACAACACGGAGATGGGGCGCACACGCTTTTCGCTGCTAGAGGGCACTCTGGCGCTGCGATCGTTCAGCAACCATGGGAATGATGGGTAGTACACACATTTGCCTAGTCTTCGTACTTGCGGGCGGCGAATCGTACTTGCGGCTTCGTTTATTGCTGTGTTTCGGTTTTGTTTTGAAAGAAAGATTCAACCCTTTTGAACTTTGTGACCCGATTTGGAAAAGTAAGCCTAAAAGAATAAGATTGTGAAGCGGAACCGCTGAACATTTGCTAATATTTGTTTCGTGATAAAACAACTTCAAGCCTCACGAACACGCACGGAGCCAAAAGCAGGCCAGAAGTACGTATATTAGACAAATGTGTGTACTACCCATCATTCCCATGCTCGCTGAAGCGCCGTGCGTTGCAGTTCCCATAGACACTGGTGCCAGAGTTCCCTCTAGTGTATATTAGGAAACTCTATGATGGCCACATTTAAACGCTCAGGACATGGTGTGAAGGTTTTATGACACAGTGAATGGAATCGAAAAAATTGTCCGCGTATCCGCATGCTTCCCTGCAAAGGACGTCGAAAGACGACAGTGTTCGGCCTGAAGAGAGAGAATAAAGCGTTTGTTTAACGTTATGGGTGAGAATATCGGCGAGTGCTGCGTGACATGGCGCCATCTGACAGTAATGTAAAGAAACGAAAGCTTTTTATAACGGAGAGCTACTGGTAGGTGGCAGCATAGCTTTTTCTAAAATTATCCAGACTCTGGCGCTGCGATCGTTCGTCTACAATGAAATGATGGGTATAGTACACGGATTTGCCCTAGCAATCGTTCTTATGGGCGACGAATCACACTTGTGGCTTCGTTTATTGCTGCGTTTCGGTGTGTTTTGAAGGAAATAATGAATTATTTTGAACTTCGAGACCCGATTCGAAATAGTGAGCCTAAACGAATAAGGTGGTGAAGCGCAAATGTTGAACATTTGCGGATTTTTGTTTCGCGAGAAAACTGCCCCAAGCCACGCACGGAGCCAGAAGTGCGAAGATCAGACATGTCCGTGCACTACCCGTCATTCCCATGCTCGCTGAAGCGCCGTGCGTGGCAGCTTCCATAGGAACCAGTGCCAGAGTTCCCTCTATAGTGTATATTTAGGAAACTCTATAGGTGGTAGGACCTTATCTTTTTAGCGAAGCGTAGGAAACGCAAGCTTTTTTCGTTCATAGCGTCGCATTTTCAATGCAGTGTAATAAACACTACGGTCTTTAAAATTACGTATCTATGCAATTTCTAAATAAAGAAACAGACTACCTAATATTGACCTATTCATGTTGCGCCTGAAATGTGCGTAATATTTGCTCTTTAATTGACATTGTTCGCAAGTATGAACGCAGCTACCCGATGAAGATGGTTGGGTGTTGAGCACGGGTTTAAATTTTCGCCGGGTGGCTGCTGAACCACTGAAAACACAGACCAACAGACAGACTAAAATTTCCTTTTTGAAGTATTCTAAGATGAACTAGACTGGCACAGGAAGCGTATGATTTCATTTTGTGACGATATATTGGGGCAAGGGCAACGTGTGAATGGTATGCAAAGAAAATTGTGATGAATAATATTGGCATGGTAAATGATTCAGATAAGTGAACTCTGCAAAACGTGCTTGCCTTTAAGTTGTACTTTTAATTTACGAATAAAAATTTCGGCAGATCCCACGTACTTGGGAATCGATGTTATGCGAAGCATGCGGAGGAAAGGTGACCGTGTTGCAATTTTTTTTATTGAGTGACACGTCATGAAATGACGCTAAATATATGTACAAATGTTGCACGCACAGACATATGTTGAATAGTTGCAGATGTTTATATAACCAGTTGCTTGTACTTGCGCAACGATGTCAACTGGAACATGCGTATTAGCTGCACCAGAATCTGATATGAAATGCTGATGCTCGCGAAGATGCTGCTCCTTGAGACTACTACATAAATCAACTCCACAATAGACGTTAACCCGACGTGATGGCTGTATCAAAGGAGTACATGTGTAATGTTTATAAAACTGGGCAGGCAGCACTGCAACCACTGTCGACGTTTAATGAAGATTAGCGTCTATTTGAAAAGTAGTTCCGAGACCTGGCGTAGCTCTGTTGTAGAATGTTCCATTGTCACTCAGAATGGTTGGGTTCGATTCCTGCTGGGACCCTGAAATTTCTTATTTGCATTCGTAGAGGGGTTCATGCTGCCTATGTTAGATGTTTATTAACACTGACATTTATTTGATGCCTTCGTTGGGACTACGCTGCCGATGTCGAGTATTGCTTAACGCTCACGCGTTAAAATATCCCGTGTGTGTTCTCGTCGTTCCTGGATACTGTCAATCACCTATGGCACATACCCGCATACCAGTGGCACATACCCGCCCGTCGGTATATGCCACTGTCTGGCGGGAAGTGTTTGACGACGTACGCGACGGTATCGTGACATTATTCATGTATTGACCAGCGCCTCATATTCGTCAAACCATCTTACCCCCTCCCATGCTGATTTTGGTTCACGCCAAGTTGAGGGGGTTGCCACGAGAGCACTCAAACGTAAGCGGCTAGATAGATAGATACGCTCAAAGTCGCCGAAGTTCGCTAAGAAATGCTTCGCATTTAATAACATATAAGTCTATACAAGTGTAAACGTTTGTTTGGCTTCACACTCGAAGTTTCGCAAGAACTATACAGTTCCTGACATCTTGTTCGTCAAGTAGGATTATTAAAAACGTTATTATTTCAATAAAACTGTACCAAACTAAATTCTATTTGAATTAGTATGTAGTTAGTGATAGCATGAACAATATGCCTATGCTAATGTATCGGACTCACTATGTGCATTTTCATTTGCAGGATATTGAGAAAATTTCAGTACTTGCTGAATCCTCGACAAGTGTACAATGTTGCCAAAGGGGGACCAATTCAAGGGTTCGTATGACACATATATATTGATGGCTTACGTGATATATTGCAATGAATTCTATGCTATGTTACTGCAGCCACCGCCTTAGTGACAATGCTTTGTCATGTGATGCAATAATTCGTACTCTTAAACAATATAAAACGTCGGCGCTCACCTATACAGTTGTCGTGCACGACGATCCCTAAGTTTTTTTATGCGTATCACTTAATCGGTCAATATTTTCTTGCGAAATCAGAGTTGTTTATTACTTCGACAATTACATGGCTAGAGGTTCCGCATATTCTAGCTATAAATCACGCGATTAAAAGTGTAACACATCCACAGCGCGTTCATATGTTACGTCTTGAAATTTTTATTTAATTGAAGTTGCTAATCGGCCCCACCGCGGTGTTGGCTAAGGTACTCGGCTACTGACCTGCAGGTCGCGGGTTCAAATCCCGGCTGCGGCGGCTGCATATCCGATGGAGGCGGAAATGTTGTAGGCCCGTGTGCTCAGATTTGAGTGAACCACAGGTGGTCAAAATTTCCTGAGCCCTCCACTGCGGCATCTTTTTTAATCATACGGTGGTTTTGGGACGGTAAACCCCACATATCAATCAATCAATCAATCGAAGTTGCTAATCGGGATTGTTTCCAATTATTTTTATTCGTGTACACATTTTACAATAAACTCGAGTTACTTGAACACTGCTTTCTTATTTACTAAGCTCAGTCGGAGAAATACCGTGCAACTATACAATTACCTTTTAGCTTTTACACTTGTAATTTTATGAATGTAACAACTTTTGGCTGCATTAAATGTTATTATCATAAAGATTGTACACGCTTTCTAATAGCTTCCCTATGGTGTGACCACATGCTTTAGATACACTTACGGGAGATGTAAGGCTAAAGGTGCGGTGGTGTTGCTTACGTGTCTCGTGTTTTTTTTTTTTTTTACACATTTCAGGCTTCAATTTTTTAAAGACATCACGAACTATCGGGTCTTATGTTGTGGAGGCGACGGTACTGTGGGCTGGGTTTTAGACACAATGGGTAAGTCTTCAGGCGTTGATTTCACGACTAAACATTATTGCCTTGTTGAACTAAATTGCACTCATTGTACAGACGCTGTCAATCTGTGACCGAAATCACGAAGCTACTTGTTTCACGTGCCATTTGGAACTGGCTAAGAACCTTCACCAATAGGTCGAGCAGGATTCACTGAACCTGTTTTACATGTAGTCCTAGCGTAAAAAACAATCTTATTTTTTTATGATTATGAGCACTGAACCTTACCGAAGCTTTTCACTTGTTTTGATGTTACTTCTGGGAATAACTTAAGGCATACTTCAAGAGACGATTTCTTACTAACTCCTCGGTGTTTCTGTCTGAGAAAGTTTTTTTTTTTATTACAATTTGTTGACAACTTCCTTGATGACGCAGGAGCTCCATATTGAGAACATTCTGCCACACTTCCGACTTCAGAGTAATGATTCACCTGAAAGTGTGAACTTTAGCATTACACTAATATTGCACACGGATAAAGAGAAAGGAGCTGGGTTTGAATTGAAGTGACAGTGTCGTTTTCTGGTGTGTCATTTCAACCGAGAAATGCTCATTTCTTTTTTTTTTTACCTCAACAGACAAGTTAAACTACGCCCAACTTCCTCCAGTAGGAATCCTCCCTCTCGGAACAGGGAACGACCTCGCGCGATGTCTTCGGTGGGGACCAGGTAAGAGCCCGCCACGTATATCGCGCAAGGTTGACATATAGCGTCAATTGGTATATACCGAAGATAATACGTAATTCCTCCCGAATACACTGTCCGACACGATGGTGCAGCGGTTGGAGTGCTTGGCTGCTCACCGGAAAGTCGCGGTTTAAATCCAGACCGTGATGGTGAGCACACTTAGATGGAAACGAAATGCTAGATTCCCATGCTACCAGTGCTTGTTAAATAGCACCAGATGATCAAAACTTCCAGATATCTCCTCCATGACATGCCTCACAATCATATAGTGGTTCTAGGTTGTTAAAACCCGGCAATTATTATCTCATTTAAAAATATTTGCGGTCACGCTGTGGGTTCACCACCAGCCGCCACTGCTACGTTTTCTATAGTAGGTCGGGGTAGATTTTTCTAAAACGTGGCTTCTTTCCCCTCCAGGTTACGAAAACGAGAGCCTAGAGAAGATACTGCAGAAGGTCGAGAAGTCCACGACGGTCATGATGGATCGCTGGAAGATCGACATCAGTAACACGGCCAATTCCGACGAGCGTGGAGACCCTATTCCCTGCAACATCTTCAACAACTACTTCTCCATAGGCGTAGTGAGTTATCAAATCTGTAAGGGCTTTTGTAAACGGAATATGCACAAAAGGCTATTTAAATTTGATCTGTATGGAATTAATTTGTAAGCCACACTTGAGCGCCTAACAGACCTCAACCTTGTTAGAATTATTTGGGCTGTACAAATGTGTCACTTCTTAGTCTTCCTTGAAGGCACCAAGATAAAAGCGCGAAATGTTTGGGCGTCACTATCACAGAAATGTTAGTAATTACATTAAACTTTGTGTGTGAACCCCCCTGCAGTAATGCCACTATGGCGTTGGAGGAACTCTGTAAATAAATAAATTAATGGCGTGGCACTTCCGCATTTCGTGACGCCGTGTGAGAATACAGCAGTGCTGCTTTACATTAGTGTATTGGCGAGCTCCCCAAAGCGAATTCTCCTCTCCCATTGCACCATACATTCATTGTGTAGTTGGTCTATATGCAGTCACCACTACAACTATATTATCAGGTTGAGGGGGGCAAAGAAGGGTCAATATCAAGCCGTGGCATATCCATGTTTTGTCTCTTCTCGGCTTTTTCTTGTCAAAGAAATCGATTATCGACCATGTTCAACTTCGCGTAGTAGTTATCTTATTTAATATAACCCGCATTTGTAATTTGTTAATCTTCTAATCAATTTCCATAATCAGCGTTCGGGTAGCAATAGCAAAAATAAGATCTGTTTCAGGCAGCGATATTAGAGGGGTTTGATGTATGTATGCTCCTCAGAAAGAAAGAAAGAAAGAAAGAAAGAAAGAAAGAAAGAAAGAAAGAAAGAAAGAAAGAAAGAAAGAAAGAAAGAAAGAAAGAAAGAAAGAAAGAAAGAAAGAAAGAAAGAAAGAAAGAAAGAAAGAAAGAAAGAAAGAAAGAAAGAAAGAAAGAAAGAAAGAAAGAAAGAAAGAAAGAAAGAAAGAAAGAAAGAAAGAAAGAAAGAAAGAAAGAAAGAGTCTAGTACGAACCACCATAGGCTGGAATGGTCGCTTATCTTAATCTTTTTCTGCAAAAATTATACTTAACATATTCTACCATGGTATTTGTGGTACGGCCGTGCGCTTCATTTATTTATTTATTTATTTATTTATTTATTTATTTATTTATTTTTGCTACGCAGAAAAATGCACTCATTATCATTACCTGAGCAGCTTTCCGAGGCCACGTCACATGGTAGACAGCATTGTTGCCACCTGCGTTTTGTGTTTTAGGGTTCTTAAAGTAACTTTTGCTACTACAGTCTAATACAGTCGCATAATCCGTTCAATATAAATGCGAACCAACGGGTACCAACGATCGCGTCCAACAGGTCTTGAACGATGCTATGAATTGTTTATTTTCTCACCCCCTTTTCCCCACCCATGTACAGGGTAGCAAACCAGTTCTTCTAGGTTAACCTCCCTGTTTCTTCCTTTTATTTATTTCTCTCTCTCTCTCACCCACTTGTCTCTGTGCAGGATGCATCCATAGCCATCAAGTTTCATTTGGAAAGGGAGAAGCACCCAGAGAAGTTCAATAGCAGGTAGGTTGCATAAACAACCACTGCATTCTGCGGAAACCTTGTATTTTCTGCCACCAGCTCTTGAATTGAATGGAATTGAATTTTATTGTCACACTTTTTACAAAAAATTTGCATACACGCGTGTTTCTCTCGGCTAAACAACTGACGTATGTACGAGGTCGTTTATATGCACTCACAGAAACCGATGTTTAATACGAAATTTGAAATACTATTGTATTTCGGAACACCACGATAAGACGTCGCATAACAAACATCATCCTCATGAAATACAATTGAGACCCTAGTTTGGCCGGCTTGAATATCAATGAGGTGTCGAGCTTTCATGCGGTTACCGCGTGTACACGAAAAACAGCTCTGCCTCAGAAGTTCAAGCCGCGAGTCAGCAAGAAAGTGGCATTGTTGAAGAGTACTACACTCTTAAGAATAAGTCAATAAAAAGCTAGTAAGCACGAGCAAAATGTCAGTAACAGCAGCTGTTACTAACCTTTTTGAGTCATTACTAACCTTTTACTAGCCACGTTAGCAAATGCTTGAAGGTTGCAATGGTTACTACGTTTTGCGCACTGTTAGTAACTTTTCGTCATTTAATGAACTCGGTTATTACTGCGAGCGTGTAACAACTTATTGAGCAGCACAAGGAGGCATTCAAGTTCATTGAGGCAATATATTCAAGCATACTACCCAGTCTTATGTCTTGAATATTAGGGCTAGTTCACGCGATATTATGCAAACTAGAGATAACTAATTGCTTTTCTTATCACGCTTGATTAAAAGTTCTACACTACGTTACCTCGCTCAACTAAAAAAAACTACGTTTACAAATAAAAGCGCCTTACTTAAATTATACATCCTACAGCATAGCCGCCCACCGGCCCCAGCGGCGTTCCCCGAAATTAGGGCTATAAATACTCTTGAAACTGCTTATGAACTGTATTTTTCGCGTGGACTTATGTATGGGTGCTGTTCTCCTTTGTTAAAAGAGTACACGTCACCTAATGCTAGCAGGACTGATACACCGATTTTAGTGTGTGTGTGTGTGTGTGTGTGTGTGTGTGTGTGTGTGTGTGTGTGTGTGTGTGTGTGTGTGTGTGTGTGTGTGTGTGTGTGTGTGTGTGTGTGTGTGTGTGTGTGTGTGTGTGTGTGTGTGTAGGTGCGTGCACGTTACCAATATTTATTTAGTCTGTGAAAATGGTTATTTGCAGACAGGCTTTGATCATTATCAAAGAGAATGTCACAAACTTCTCCCCTTCTGTCGTTCAATTTTTTTTCTGCTCGTAAACCTAAACTGACCTAACTATACTGCGCAAATATCTATTCACCCCGTTCTGGTATGCATCTCGGAAATCTAAATTGGCTTACACCGAGCTTGTGTCTTGGCAGCGGACTGTTAAGAGAAGATGCGGCAAAAAAAAAAAAAAAATGTCACATACATTGGAGACCATCAGAGCTTCCTCGGTGTACTTGTGTTTTATACATGTATGCAAATCAAATAAATAAACCATAAATTCCTGGAAATGTCGTAACTGTGAGATAATTGGGATTTACGAATACGATATCAAGTCGCGCAGCCAAGAGCAGAGACGGAAAACTGTCTCTGCTCTTCGCTGAAGTTGAGGCCGGTTGATCGTTTTCTCCGGTCGCCATGTATTTATGGCCACAAACTTGTGTTTTAACCTGTATCTGTGTGCGTAGTTTTCATGCGTGAAGGTCCTGAAGCGGCCGAATGGTCGAGTGTGCCGCGTGCGACCAAATTTATCGGAACAGAGATACTGGCTTCTGTTCTGCTTCAGTCTCCTTGCTTATTCAGGCGAAAACATCATATGCCTCATCAGCTGAAAAGCCGGGCGTGATTACGGAATGTTTAAAAAGAAATACCACGTGATTTCTCAAGCGCGGCTGAAGGTGCGCTCACTGCTTCTTTGTGGCGTTCGAGGACTAAAAGATTTTTTCAAGAGGCATTCACATAACTCGGTCAACGCGTCCTCTTCTCTTTCTTATTAGGCGTTGACTCGGCTTACCACGCTTTCTCCTTCAAGACGTATTAAGAGTCATAACGGACATCGACAAATTTGAAATTCAAACAATTGTTTTAAGGGGGACTCTACGGGCACATGATGAAAGTGCAAAAGAAAAATCACAGTGTTGGTTTAATGGTGAAAAGAAAAAAAGTTGGTTAGAGTAACGACGGTTGAATGTGGACAGACACCGATGACGTAGAGCAAGTGTCGGCTCTAAGAGCGATCAACAGTACTGCCATGGTGGTGCAGGCTTCGTAACTCAGTGTATGTACAATATGATCAAAATTGAGTTTAAGGTGTGAGAGTACACAATAAAGAGGAAGGACACATGACAGAGCACCACTACTTGCGTTAGTGGTGCTCTGTGGCATGTCCTGTCTCGTAATTGTGTTTTTTTTTTCGCAGCCTATAATCAGCTATGAATGTACACCAACTTGCTGTTATGGCTCAATATGAGACCACTAGCAAACCGTTAGTGTTGCAGCGTTATCTTATTACTTTACTTACGTAATAATATACATCATTGATGAAGCGCTTAACAGAAGTTACAATGAAGGAGTTTTCCAGGACGGAAGCCGGAACCAGTGCATTATATCTGGTGGCGTATGTTTTGACGGTGTTGACATGGATATGCCAACAGATTGGGGTATTAGTTTTTTTCAAACGTACTGCCTTAGATTTTGGGATGGACCTCGAATAAACAAAGAAAGCCGTTGCTTCATAAACTAAAGAACCGTAAAAGCGAAGTTGCGGCAAGTAGTCTTTCCGAAATCTGAGAAATGACATCGCTTTTTTTTTGTTGTTATCACAGGATGAAGAACAAGATGTGGTACTTTGAATTCGCCACGTCGGAGACGTTCTTCGCGACGTGTAAAAACCTTCACGACGACGTCGATATCATGGTGAGGCCACTTCTTTTCACCGGATCACACAAAATCACATCTAAAAGTCGATCCTTCACCGTTCCAAACGTAAATAATTGAGAATATAAGAGAGATTTGTGTGCTGAAACACAGCCGCAAAAGCGTTGAGAAATTTTTGCTTTTTTATTTCTTTGTTGTACTTCATATGTATAATTTACTTTACATTATACCCTAATGTGTGCAAATATTTCAATAATTAATATTTTAGGGCAGGTAAGAAGGAGAGCAGATAGTGCAAATGGTGTTGCAAGTTATACTTCATGCAAAAGTCACTTGAAGTTACCCTAACGTGCTCGTAGCCATAACGTACTCGTAGTTATTAACGTGCTTGTAGTTATTAACATGCTCGTAATTCGACGTTGTGTTAGTAAACGTACAAGTTGCCTAAGAAACTAGCTCCCTTCTACATAGCAGTGATATACCTCAGATGTGCCACAAACTGTAGCGGTTTACAGATTGTCTAACATGGCAATATCACATTTATTTCGCTTTTGTTACATAGCACACTACTAAACAGGGACCAATGATGTACCAGTTTTTTTTTTTTCGTTGCAATAAACGCTTCATTAGTCGCCATGTGCCCTTATCCTTTTTTGATCTTGTTGATTCGCACGCGTAATAATATCTGCAGCTTACCCAGGTCTAATTAGTACACACAATTAGTACACGCCGACTCTACGCATCGTATATTACGGAGAAAGCGCCATACGCGCTGATGGGCGCGCTTCAGAAAGAGTCAGTGAGCGCTGATGCGTCAGCATCCTTCACGTATACCTGTCAATGAAGTGCAGGTGCGGGACCCGTACGAGGCAGGCACAACTGTTGTGGGAGACGCGTACGCCACGTGTGGGACCTCCCGGTTCTCCCCGTACTCGTCGCTGGCCGCCCTTGGCGCGCCTGTTCATTCACCTAGGCGGCAGCTGTCAAATGCGGTTGCACGAATTATGTCGCTCGCAAACTGAACAATCGATCGTGCGGCCGCGCGATGCTGTAGGCTGTCTAAACGTACACGTCATTGCACAGGCAGGCTCGACGTGACACGTGCTGGTAGTCAGCTCTTTAATGACAACAGTGATTTCAACGAGTTGACAGTTTCACAACCATCGTGTCGCTGCAGGCATGATTACATGCGAGTCACAGCGCTATTCATTCACTGCTACCACGTCTACCGTACCGCGACATGTTAATGCGACGCACTGCTATTCTCGGTGAATTTGGTTACTCTAAGCAGTAAGCAAAAACAAAAAAAAAACTTGGTTACGAGTTGCTTTGTAATCGGCGTCATATTGTCCGCCAACGCACACACAGCTTTTTCAATCAAGCTTCCTACGAATTCAGTCGGATAGGAAGGCGCCCAGGTACCGCGATAATGTTACGTAGCCTATACACGTGCATGAAAAGTGAAAGATGGCGGCCCGGTATAGTGATAACACTGATAGGCCACTGAGTTCGCGATAGTGGCTGAATGGGCGTAGTCCTATGTAGATATCGATGGTCGCTTCAAAGCACATGCACCGTAAGTGGTACGAATCGAGCCCGCGCGCTCCGCAATGGTTATATGCTTTTGGGACGCAGTTACAACTTTCGCCCGATGAATGGCGCTCTGCGCAGGGACACATTGCGAGGCCTCTTCTTATCGGTGGTCTCTTTGTTTTGACACACGCAGTGCGACGGCGTCTCGCTGGAGCTGTCCAACGGGCCATCTCTGCAGGGCATCGCGGTGCTCAACATACCCAGCATCTACGGCGGTTCCAACTTGTGGGGAGACAACGCCTCGTCACGGCGCCGCTCACGGTCCAAGCGACGCAAGAAGCACGAGCGGGACATCTCCACCAACAGCTTCAACTCGATCGACCTGAGCAGTGCCGTACAAGGTATATGCCGTCTTACTCCTGGTTAACTGCGAAGCATGCCTTATTTTTACCATTCGTCAGCTTCAGAAAACCGTTGCGCTTGTTAACGTGGACATACCGTCACTCTGGGCTACAGTTATTCGTATTTGCGGGGTAACTTGTGAACAGGAAGGAGCCTTATACGTGAACGACGTCCGCCGCATAAAACAGTTGCGAGGGTTGGTTCGTGAGAGTGCTCGTTTCATCATTTTCTGTCTACGACCCACGGCACATCTCGACCGTAACAGCTGTGCTCTTGAACGTCTGGAGAGTTTCACTTCTTGAGACTCTCGCCTTCCTCCCCCCTGCGAAGACGAAAGAATACTGCGTGCTCCGTTTGTATACATAAAAACAAGCTTCCTGATGGTGAATGCAGAATGCCCGTCTTTCGTGGCACCACGCAAGAGAGTTGCGCTTCTGGCGTAACGCTCTTGTACAGGCGGAATCACGCTTGTCTGCAGAGCCAAGCCTGCCGCTATACAGCTTCACGTTTTCTGCAGAAATGCGCTAAGACTGACGCCGTACTGACACCTAACATGTTCATACTGCACGATAATGACCTTGTGCTAAAATTCAAGCGGGAACGAAGCTTATCTCTTACTTCAAGTAGCAGCTACGGAGACCAACAGCGCCCAAGTCACGCGCTTCGCTGCTTCTGACAAGTGTTATTCCGTGTGTATGTCTCAGTCGAACTTGCTGGCATGAAAAAAAAAAAAAGAAGGAAACAACAAATATCGTTTGAGCGAGCAAGCTACGCGTTCAGTTCGCCTTCGCGTTGTGAGCATGCTTAAAGAAATAAAAAAAAAGAGGACTCGTGTCAAGCGTTGTGTGCGAGATGCGCGTTCAATTCGTATAGAGCTTTTCACGTGAGCGACGAAAACGCCGTAATCCTGGGCTGGGTGCGGGTGTGCATAGGCTCATGTCACAATTTCAGCAGCATGTCTTTTCGTGGAGAGGTTCTATTTGGTGATGCAGAAGTGTTGCCAGATTTGGGGGTCCGTGTTGCCAGACTGCGGGGTTCAGGAATATTTCGTGCAGCCCAGAGAGAACTTGGGTGGCGCCCAAGGAGCCGTCTGTGAAATGGTCCATGGGTGGTGTTCCCGTGACTGAAAGAAAAATTTGTGTTCACGCGTTTCGGACTGCGAACCTGCAAGCTTCGGAAATCCCTCTTCATTTCTAGCGAGGGTCTCGTTCTGGCCTTCAAGTGGCATGCGAGAGATGATTGGTCGGCTGCCAGCTTGTAATAAGATTATTACGTGGCGTAAGCAGGGGGAAAAAAGCCACGCTCGCTGCAAAGGCTGCAGTCGGCGCTGAAACTCCCAGGTTTAAACGCACAGATATACCCAATAAAGTGGACGGGTATATGACCGCCGCTTTAGCACAATTGGTAGAGCTTGGGACGCGCAATTCGAAGGTTGCAGGTTCGTTCCTACCGGCGGCAAGTAATCTTTTCGTGCACTTGAATTTTTTCACAATGATATCATCATTACTACAAATAGCATTCCCTGTAATTTCCTTGGCATTTTTGCCCATTACTTCTTGTTTAAAGAAGGACAAAACACAAGCATAGTTGTACATTGGTGCCTTGTCGTCTGCAAAGTACTGACTGTATTGTGTTAACAGTTAATGAACAATTAACATATTAATTGTCATGTTAACGAATATCGGTTGTTCCACCGTTGGGGCATGTTGTGACATTGTACGTGATTCATCTCTGCGACTGAAGGATGACACTTCTTCTGCGCAGACATTGGCGACCGGCTTATCGAAGTTATCGGCCTGGAGAGCAGCATGCACATGGGTCAAGTCAAGGCTGGGCTCAGAGCTTCCGGCCGGCGACTCGCACAGTGCTCCTCGGTGGTCATACGGTGAGCAACAGTGTCACGCATTCTCTGCACTTGCGCTTAGCCGTAGTAAAACGACGAGACTAAATATATGAGAGTGTCAGCTTCCAAATGCGGGCACAGGTGGGAAGCTGGGACAACACTAACGCGGTGTTTACATGCCTACCGTTTTTTTTTCTTGTTATTATAAATCCCTACCATGGCCGTGTTCCACAAAACTAGCTCAGATGTCCGCGACACTAGTCAGAAAGCAGGTGAAAAGCACTCGGATATGTTTTGTCCCGTCACTTGTCCTCATCGTATGCACTGGTACTCGTTTTGAACGTATGAGTCGCCCAGCTTCCAGGGACATCACTGTCAAACAATGCCTCAATTCTAAATTATGAAGCTTCCCTCGTAAAATTTATTGCTGATTTCATCATCATCAATATTTTAAATCAGTACAGAAATCTACTTAGGCGCGTCCGCGTGATGTCAAAGCTTCCGGAACGTTTGTTATTATTATTATTATTATTATTATTATTATTATTATTATTATTATTATTATTATTATTATTATTATTATTATTATTATTATTATTATTATTATTGCGATAGATAACAATTATATGGACACTCACGGCTGGATTTTGCCGTCGACGTCATTCACCGTATAAGTATACGTATCTATATATATTAAAACGCATGAAAAAATGTTCCAGAAGAAGTCTCCGGCGCGCGGAATCGAGCCTTTGAATTTCGAGTGCGAGGCGTTAACCACTGAGCCACGACGGAGCACCTCCTACAACGTTCAAATATCTACCACTTCTCGCTGGCAATAGGCACTTCGGGGGAACTACTATCGTGTTTTCACCACTACCAGCGATATGGCGCAAAGAGCGCTCGTCGCCACATTGTCACGACGTGGGGGCGCGGGCTCTCATCAGCCACTCGTACTTTGCCCCGCGGAGACAGGACGCTCTCACGTGCGTTCGCTTATCTCGTGGTGGGGACAATCGTACGCTTTGGGTTTTCACCGGAACGACTGTGTTGTAGTTACCGGGCGCGCTATGGTCACTGCACTCGTAGCACCATCTTCGTTTCCGAAAAGGGCGCGCTTTTCAAACACAGCGAAGTGACAACTGAGATGCTTATTCGCGGTTATCTGTACCTGATAGTACGTTTCGTCCGTCATTTGTGCGCGAGGAACGCGGCGCACGTTCCGATCTGCTTGCCATTCTGCGCGTGACTTTCCAATTTGTTGCTATCGCGTTCATTGCTTCACCTTTGCGGCAAAGCTAGCTGTGACTTTCTGTTTTTGACATATAGGTGATATTATGCCTAAATTTTACTTATTGTTAAATGTAGGTAATGCTACATTGTTTATAAGACTAAGCCGACCTGACTATTGTGTTTGCAATATTCGTGTACTTGTATTGAACTGCGTCACCTCACCTTCTGCATGCCCCGCCGCAATGGTCTAGTGGCTTAGGTACTCGTCTGCTGACCCGCAGGTCGCGGGTTCGTATTCCGGCTGCGGCGGCTGTATTTTCGATGGAGGCGGAAATGTTGTAGGCCCGTGTGCTCAGATTTGGGTGCACATTAAAGAACCCCAGGTGGTCGAAATTTCCGGAGACCTCCACTACGGCGTCTCTCATGATCATATGGTGGTTTTGGGACGTTAAACCCCACATATCAATCAATCAATCTATGACCTTCTGCATACTTGTGAGACAAGCCGTGACAAGTACTGCATGCTTAAACAGCGCATTGTCTTATTCCCACCAGCATTACTACCTTCGTGTGTATGCGCTTTTTAAGCAAGCACCAACGTGGCCAAACAGACGTATTGTCATAGGCGTGTGCGCGCGAGCAGTGGGTACTTATCGTAAGGGTTTCAATTTAATGGGAGTGGCCTGGAAGGGGGCTGTGACTAAACATTGCCTACTTCGCCTCCATGTCCTTGATGAAGGACCCTACGTGCGCCTAGGTGTGTATTCTTTTTGACACATGTCTGCATACTGCTGCTGCTGAAAAACATTTATTTACAGATGTTATTTACAGGGAGGGTGGGAACGGTCCTTAAGGGGCCGCCCCGTACAAACACTAGGTGGGCTCCCTCTTACGGGAGCCCATTGGCGTTGGCCGCGGCCCGGGCACGCTCGACCAGGGCCCGTTGGGCCGTCAGGTCAGAGCAGCCGAGCAGGGCTGCCTCCCAGTCCTCCCGCGAAGGGTTGGGTAGTGGGGTAACGTTTGGGGTTTTTTGGCATGCCCACACCATGTGGAAAATGTCAGAGGAATTTTCCTCACAATGCGGGCACTTCCCCGTGCATGCGGGGTCAAAGTGTTTTATGATTGCCGGGCACAATAGAGTTTTAGTGTAAAGGCGAAGGAGGATTCGCTCCTCCGCCTTTGTGAGGCCCTTACAGGGTTTTGGATAGACGTTATGGCCGGATTGATAAAATTGTGTGATCTCCTTAAAGGTGTAGGCAGGATTGGGTTCGAGTTCCGGATCGGTAGGGGATGAGGATGGTGCCCGGAGAGTGAGCGCGCGTCGTGTGTGCGCTGTCACCTTGAGGCTGCATTTTGATGCAGCCGTATGATCCGCTGTCGCTTCTCCTATACGTCTTTCTGTGTGGTTTCTCATCTACAATATTGACTTACCATCATAGCTTACTTTTTCTGACTGCATTCATTATGCTGATGATACAATATTTTTCAGTGACAAAAATGTCAACAATCTGCTTTCGAAATTAAACACGGATGTCGATGATCTTGTTTCATGGTGTGATAAATTACTGAAGATCAACCCTATCAAAACAACTTTCATGTCACTTATTTAAAAAAACGTGGCAATACAACTTGAAATACACATAGATAACTGCATCATTACCCCATCAAAGTTTATTACTTCTTTAGGTGCCACAATAGATCCTCAACTTAAATTTAACTTTCATATAAACTCTGTCATCAAGAAGCCTGCTTTTGGCATCTCCATACTCATTCCCTCAAGACACTATTTCCAGCAACACATTCTCAGATCAATTTACTATGCAATTATTCACAGTCACCTTACTTACTGCATTTCATCCTGGGCCAGCACGTATACCACTCATCTGGCATCTATCATTCACCTTAAGGAAACAGCAATCTGTATCATCACTCATAGTTCATACACTACATCAGCCGCCCTTCTCTTTAGCACTCTCGAAATTCTACCTATTACCTCCACTCTTCAACACAAACTTGGTGTTTCATTATTCAAAAGTAGAACAGGTGTCCTTTCCACTGACATACTTCCCATAACACATCTTCACATAATATTAACACATGTTTTTCTGAAAATAGTAACATTCTGCTTCCAAAAGTACACTAACTACAGTAATATGACAGCGTTGTTTACTGCAACTTCATCCTGGAAATTAATTTCATCAATTATCAAATTAAGGTCTTCATTGCATCATTCCCGGTGTCATCTAAAACAATTTACACTAACCACATGCACAACCTGATGTGTGCATTTATATGCGTATTGGTTTAAATATATTAGTATTTATGCATGTGTGTGTACTCACTATGTATGTATATTTATTAATAAGTATTAGCATTTGTGATAGTTGGTTATATGGAATAAGTTTCTTAGTTGTCAATCTTTGTTTTATGTTGTTTATACCTGTTCTAACAGGAGGTTCCTCTGAGAGTTTTTACTTTGGGACTTCCTTCTGCATTATACGCATGTTTTTTTCGTTGTATTGTATTACTGTATTCAATATATTGAATAAAGTTCTCAAGAGTTTAAAAAATGCAAGAAAGAAAAATACGGAAAAAGACGCCGGCGCGTGGAATCGAACGCCCGACCTCTTGCCTGTGAGTGGGGGGCGTTTGCCACTGAGTTATGAAGAAGCACCTGCTTGAATGTTCAAACGGCAAACTATTTATATCTACCACTTATTGCTAGCGATGTCGATCTCGGGTGAACTATCGTGTTTTCAGCATTAACAGTGAGATGGCGCAAAAAGCGCACGTCGCCAGATCGTCACGACGTGGCGACGCGTGCTCATGCGTTCATATCCCAAACGTACTTTGGCCCGCGTAGAGGGGAAGACGCTCAAGCGTGCATGCGCTTATCTCGTGGTGTGGAGAACCGTACACCTTGGGCTTTCACTGGAACATTTCTGTTGGAGTTACCGAGCGCACAAAGGTCACTGCACTCGCTGCACAGTCTCCATTTGCGAAAAGGGCGCGCTTTGCAGACACAGCAAAGTAACAACTGAGACACTTCATTGAATTCATCTGTAACTGTCAGTACGTTTCGTGCGTCATTTTTGCGTGAGCAACGTGGGGCAAGCTTCGATCTGCTTACCAATCTTAGGGGACATTCCTAATTTGTTGCTATCGCATTCATTGCTTCGCCTTTGCGGCAAAGCCGGGTCTTTTTTTTTAATGGATATGTTTTTCCTGCCACCACGTATTATCAATCGGTAGCACCGAAGCATGCGTGTGTTCTCTCGACAAAAAGTGACTGGATTGATTTTTCCACCATGTTTTATTCACGGAACATTAAACCTGTCTTTTCGGGCTATTATCCTATATTTATTTCATTTATAAGCGACTTTCAGTTGTCATCTGTTTAGCGGTTACTGTGGCTCAAGACTTTCATTTAAAATACGTGCAGGACAAGGAAAAGGTTCCCAATGCAGATTGACGGCGAACCTTGGGTACAGCCACCTTGCACGGTAAGTACAGATATAACAAAAGCGCGTAAAAATGTAGTACAAATTGATTTGCTTTACATGATCAAGTTTTTGTCTTGCAATACCTCAAGTGTGTGTGTTTGCGTTTGTGTTTGTGTTTGCGTGCACGTGCACACGCGTGTCTTGAGAATCGTCAGATCACTCGTAACATGTTTTGTACTAGCATATTTGCTTGTAACGTATGGGAGATGTACGCGTTATATCATGAACGCGCTAACCAATTGTCTATCGCGTTGGATTTTTTAAATGGAATCCGGTGTTTGAAACAAGCCTACCTTAATAGCGTCGAAATCTGAGTGTGCGTTAAGAAACCGTAGGTGGAGTCTCTGACTGTCATAGGCCCCACTATAGCCTTAAAGACCTAGTTGCCTAACAGTTTAAAACGTCTGGTGTTCTCACATTTTCATCATTAGTACGTTTCTGCCGGTGTTGTTTCTACCCTTTACTTTTCTTATTCGTAATCAGTATATTTAACGTTATTCCGTGGTTTAATGACAGTTCAGTGGTCCGATATTTGAAGACCGGGCTTCGCAATAAATTTAGTTATTATATAATTAGCGTCTCTCGACGTTCACACTTGCGAAGTATCATTATTTGGTGCGAGTGAACTGCGTGGAAAAGCTTCTGTGACTTGTTAACTATGCGACCTTTTTGCTATTTCCTTTCGCAGATACAAATAACCCACAAGAACCAGATGCCGATGCTGATGGCGCCAGCTCCGACGAACAAGTCCAGGTTCCCTTTCTTCTCCTTCCGGAAGTCGTGATTATCGCCTACTTTCGCTTCCCCTTCTTCACCCACGACCTTCTCCGCTGCTCTCGCTCTCAGCACTTGTTCGTCGTTGTTGCTCCTGAATTTGCCCAGCCCCGCACATTGGCGTATCGTGCCGCTGTCGGTTACGGAGACTGCATTTAGTTTACGCATATCTTGTTAACTTATATCTTGTACATATACTGTATAGACATTGCCCATTTGCTGCTGTTTAACACTATTGACCAGGGTCGTAGCGACTCTGTAAGTGCACTCGCTGTATGCTAATTTTTTTTTGTTTGTTTGTGAACCTGTGAAAATGTTTTTTAATGCTTGATAAATCTACTTGCTGAGATTGGTTGCACATTTGGTGCGCTTTTGTAGACTTTTTTGTGTTATTCCAGTGACAGAATGCTTCTCACTTTGCGTTAGAACTGTCTCTGGACAAAAGGCCAGTTCTCTACAGTTTTAAACGCTTCATGTTGAATTATCTGCAAGTATTAGGTGGCGTCTAAACTTTAAGAAGTTAGAGGCATCAAACGTTATTGTAGATAACCATTTGTATTATCGGCCTTGTTGACAAAGCAGAACGCACGTGTTTACATATATCCTGTTTTTATTAAGCAATCTGCAACTTCATAATAGCATGGTGACTCCGCATGTGTGACAGGTGGTTCCAGGTGGTATCCTAAATGGCACCGTATCCTTTATCGTTCCTACGCAGTGCGGAGCGCATTGTCTAGCGCAGTATTTTTCCAGCAAACAGGTGATAACCGTCACTTGGGATAAAACAAGTGTAACACATTTTCCTCGCTCAGCTAAAGCGCGTCCCAAAGGCCATCTCCTTCCTGTGCGTAAAGCGTCTGGTGGCCCATATCGTGAATAGTCATGAACGTACTCCACGGGCCCCTTTCGTGAGAATCCGCGAAGGCCGGTTCAGCACCGCAAGCCTCCATTAAACCATCCGTGACGTTATCTTCGGTGTGTTTTGGGTGCCACCAAATGAGAGTACTTGTGTCTACGCGTAACATATCTGAATGTACTGACGAATGATTGTGGCTGCGTCAGTGTGCCATTCACGTGTCCTTAGCGGGCCAGTTTGTGAATCTCAGCTTTTCTTTGCTCCACTGTTATATGGTCAACATATGGACGTCATACCGACCGACCCCCATAACCCGATACATTTCACATACTATAAATTTGTTCATCACATGCAAACGAAAAAAATAGAGAAAGTTTGGGTGCACTAATAGCACTGAAAACAATGACTCCAAGTAATCTTAACTAAATTAACATCGATAATCGTCATGAATAGACAGTCGCTTTCATGAGCCCCTTGGTAGAAAGAAATATTTCCGCTTCGGTGGTTAGATTCTATGTAAAGCATCGATTCTCGTAGTTTGTTCATCTTAATGTAAACACAACCTTTGATGTTTAAAACGCAAGGCTTTCGAGAGCTGTTTTTTATATATATTGTGCCTTAGTGGAAGTGCGTACAAATCTTTTCAAACAACTCTTTCTTTGTGTTTCCAAGCTCTAAGTGCTCATGTGAGCGTTCGTAATCCAGAATCGTCTGTTTACCTGTTCGCTCTTAATTAGCCGATCAGTCTTTATAGGCGCCTGCAGCACCCTTCATTTCTTAATGTTTTTTTTAATGTCTGCAGCGCCAACAAAACATTTTTACCAAGCATTTTCCGAATATTTAACTTAAGGGGCAAGTACAATATTTGGTGCTCAGTTTCAGTCTGCTGCTGACACAAGAAGCCGTCCTAGTTATCTAAGGATTGAGGTACGCCGTCGACATTCACGAGATACTCATTTCTTCTATATAGCCTTTGTTTCGCCTTACGCAGAAGTAGCATGCTATTGGTGGACTTCTTCTCAGTAGAAAGGTCAGCTCATAATCTTGCAGACGATTCCATTGGCGACATCACTGTTGGAGAGAAGTAACAAGGAACGAAAGCTGACATTCACAAAGAACTGTGCTGCAGGAAATGCATTGGAAGTGTAACTGACGACCGCAACGTACAAGCGGGAATTTTTCGCAACGTTCTCTTTGGCTTCAGCAGCTTCGCACGCCCACGTGGCTCGCACTCGTCACTGTACATACACCACGGAACATTTCTGGCGTGACAGTTGTACATCTTATATAAGTAATTCTAGCTACACCAAGTGCATAATCTATTGACCACATTTTGCTCGGGGGCGAATGTTAGAGGTCAGCCAGCCCCGAAAACCTCACCGTGGTCTCCAACGACCAGCTTAATCGCTTTATTACTGCGTCGCCACGCCTCACTTCATTTTTTGTTACTCTTGCTTCGCACTGTATTCTTGTAAATGCAAACTTCCTGCGCCCAGGAACGCGGGACATCGCAGATGATCGGTTAACCAATATCAACGTGTTGGAACATGAACCTTAACTGGAGGAGAGACAAACTGTCTGATGTTGAGTTTCAGACGACCCATCCTTGCGTGATCTCACGACGTATAGCTTATGGCAAACATGCTTACGTATCACCTGGTTAACTTCGATAAGCGGCGGTTTCGGTGGCTGCGTCTCAATAATGGTCGTATGATCTGCATTTCAGTCCTATAGGCAGCAGACAGGCCATGGCACTGGATACATCATGTGGTATCATTGTCGTACAGCCGAGGCTCTCGTGGCATCCCTGATACTTTTCTAAAGGTGAGCCCATTAAAGGCCGTCACTACACTTGAGCGTATCTTGCGGAACATGACAACATAGTGTCAGCTGCGTTTTGTGGACTTCCATCTTGACACCGTGGTTTGTGAGGCCTTGTTTCAATTTCTGCGCCACCGCAAGTTTTTGTGAGCAAGTTCCGTAAAAAAAAAAAAAAAACTGAAGAACCAGCAGAAGCCGTAACATTAGTTTGAGCCATATTGCCACACGAACACAAATCTAGAGTGGCACCCACAAACATGCATGCTGCTACCATAGTGCCACAAGGTGTCAACTAAGTCATAGCGTTGATAGCCGTATGAATAAGCGCTTGTAGATTCTCTGAACGGCGAGACAGGACAACAACTGCCTTGTATTTATTTTTTATCTTATTTTGGGACGTCTTTAAGCTCTAATATGCGATGTCCCGCTCCCTGCTACAGCAACCTAGTCATCTGGTTCTGGGAAGGTTGTCGCGCTTCAATACTTGATGCTCCGCAAAAAATCCAGCTGAGGTGCGCAGTTGATGGTGAATGGGGGCATATGGTGTTTTAATGAAGGTGTTGCTAACTTATTTACATACGAAGTGTTGTTCATGCACATGTTACAAAAAAAGTGTTTGTACATATATATAGCGTTTGTATCATGTATTATATCTATTTGTCTTGCTTAAAGCGGTAGTGATGACTGATCACACGATGAAACATAAAGCAGCGATGATACACAACAGGTCATATCATGTACGTAGGAAAATATAAATATATATAGTTTCCCATAAGCCCATCACTTTCACGTTGTGTGGAGGAGCGCGGTGTTTACGCCTCCGAGCTGTAACAATGCGCATCTTTTTTGTATTGTTGTTCTTAATGCATTGATTTCAATTGTGTTCATACAATGAACGGCTTGCTTCAATATTATCACAAGTAAGATAAGCAACATTGTCTACTTACATGATTGTCAACATGTAGCCAACCGTGATTCCTGCAAGTGTAAAGCTGACGTTAATGTTCATAGAGGGCCAAACTGAGGTACATGTTTGCTTGGGACCTCTTTCTACGACGACTGCAGAAAAGCCCGTATCTCTAGTACAGAGGTGCCCTCCAAGATTTTATGTAACTGTATGAAGTACAGCTGGTCGTTTACTGTTTGTATAATGCAGTAGCCTTCAGAAAATACAGCAGCTATTTATTTCACGTGACGTGCATTTTGCTCGAGAGACTGTGTCTCACTCACGCGCAACACCCACGTAAGTTGGTACAAATATCCTCCGCTCGCGTGTTATCTCCTTCTCGTGTCGTTCTTTTTTTCTTAACTTGAACAACTCGTGCTATGATTTCGCATGCTGTTGGCGCAGCATAGTATTCACTGTATATGATTCCGCAGCTGGCCCCCCTTGATGTGTAAAGACGTGACGTGTTTCGTTCAGAGCCACACCTCTACGAGGCGGGCGAACCGGGCTAAACTGAGAACGCTTTTTTCTAACCGCGCGAGATTCTCTCATTCCTGCTTCCCTTTACACTATTCGAATCCGACAGCTTTGCGAACTTACTTCACATCTCCTTATAATCTTCAAACGAAATCGACACCTAGGTCAACAACGGAGTAATATTAATCACGCTGTGTTTCTTGCAAAACTCGTCGCATTGCGACTAACAACGTCAGTGTTCAAGGTCGTTACGTTTTGTCATCTCCGCGACAACTTAAGCGCGCCGTAACAGCGGGGTCAGGGCTCTGACGACTCGTTTGAGCAGATGCGAAGGTTCACTCTCGAAGAGGAACCCAGGCTTCACGGACACACAATGAAAAAGCGCAGAGGAGGCGCAGCGCTTTCCGTTTGAGCTGCGATGAATCGCGCCAAATTTTTAAAGAAATTCACAGGTATTACTTGAACAGGTATACGAACGCTCGGTTCGCCCCGTCATCGTGGTGCAACTTGTAGACAGTCTCAGTATCGTTTTAATTTAGTTTTCTTTTATATATCTCTGCATTCGTGTCTAGTGTCATGTACATACATATACATAGACAAGCAATGCACTTCGAACATTGTGTGCACCAATTCACGGGCCCCTATGGCTTCATGCATAAACGTAAATGTATTATCGATTTCTGTCGTCCCGATTGTTAGTGGTACACATATATATAGATATATATCGATGACGAAAAAACAAGTTGCGCTACTTTGATCATACCTGCCGTAGTGGTATTCTGTACACAGTACTGTGTATGACGTTCATGTCACGTGCGAGAGTGTGTCGTCTGTCTGCATACGTTTACCGCTCGTGAGACCCCGTAGTTGGCCGTCAGTGTATTTCGACGCGCTGTCTTCCTGGCAAACGGCTCTCTCTTGCGTGCGTGTCCGTATCCGCCCTGTAGGAAAAACCATCCCGGTGACTCCACTCACGTGGTATACCAACCTTGTCCCAACCCAAGAATCAGTGGAAACGGTATTTCGACCTGAATATTGCGAATCGGTTCCACGGAATGCCACAGTATGCGGCATTCATCTGTTTGCGACACAAAGTTGCGAGGCGATGGAGTTCATACGGACTCCTCGGAAAAAGTTTCTTATCGGCTTAGCCTGATCGGTAGAGCTGCCAACCCGAAAAGGCCTTGGTCGCTGGCTTGAATTTCATGAGTGGGCTATTTTTTCTGAGAACTAAGCGTCTTTCTTTCTGAGAAATCGGGCCAAATGTTCTTTTCTCTACGGGCCGCAAATTGGCGGATATCAAGTCTCCTTTTCTATATTGCAACCTTTACAGACGCTATTTGCGCCCCTTAAGTCGTGTCGTTTCGCCGAGTGTTCCATTATCGGTAATTCCAGAACACGTGTGCACATACTAAATGTTTCTTACCTTATTTTCACTCGCGAGTTAACGTCTCGTTATTGTTGCAAGAACGGCACTCATTTCCGTAATTCAGCAAGCCGGCTGCACTACAGATACTGCACCAGTTCTAGAATAACCTTCATTATCGCGCGCTATACCTCGTGGCATGTAACCTGTTTGTACCGCTTCAGCGTAGCCTAGAGAACAGTACGTGCCAAATTGAGGTCCACGGCATCATCTTCCCTTCCTCGTTGCAATTTTTTTGTTCAGTCCGCAACATCTCGGAAAAAAAAAAACTTGTAGCCAGAGTCGTTCAAAAAAATAATTCGCTTAGCAACGGAAATACAACACTTAAAGAAGGACAACCCCCCCCTCCCCTCCTTGTTTCTAGTGACGTACTGTGTCGCGAAAATGAAAAACGACTCTAATTTGCCAGGGCGCCTTTTGGCTGAAATGCAGCCCAACCCGTTCACATGTTACTACGCCCTTTGACCTGCTACATCAGGAACTGTTCTCCTTCCTATGCGTGTCGCATTGTAAAAGCTTGCAGAATTTATGCCGCATTTCCACGCACCGCCTTACCTATAGAACATCCTCCCTCCCTTCCTAAATAGTTACTTTATAAGCCGTTAGTATGTGTACTTCTCAGACAAGTGCATTAGGCTCAATGTTTCTTCGTAAGTGCAACGTATCTGCTTGATCCTGAGCACAGTTGCTGTCGGGAGAAAGTGAGACTGTTCTTTTAGATAGCCGCTGTTCAGGTGAACTTGTAAGAACCTGCCTGTAGTCAGTTTAACAATTGTACCTATTCCCTATACATGCTACTACCTACTTCTTTACGGGGCCTCCTTTCGCAGCGCTACTGTGCGTCGAAATATCTTTCCCCATCGTTCCCCGCATGGAGTGTTGTATAAGGACGCATTATTATTAGTATGTATTATTTTTCCACTATGTAGCGGAAACATGTTGTTATATTCCTTCGCGATAACTAAATATGTATCCGCGTGAGATAACTGTATATAATAAATGATATATGAGATGTTCTACATTTCACCTATTTATTTATTGATGATCTGAATAAAAGTGCATGTTACCACGAAACGTCCCATTTGTTACGATTGCTTTCTTTCTCACGTACATCGCCTCACTATGTTTAACGGACAGCAAGACCCGTGAAAAGATCGCCGGACTCTGCAGTGTGCCTCGAGAAGACTGGATGGTCGTCCCTTTACACAGGAGAAGATCTTCGGTACGTGGTCTTTGAGTGCATCAGCCCAGAAAACCGCACGAGCCCTTCTACGATTCTTCAGGGCAACGTCACTGAGCGACCGCCTGTGAAACCCTGCACTGTGATTGCGAATTGTGTTGTGTGCAATGTGTATTTCCTCCTCCCCTTTTTTTCTGTACTTCTCCCTTATTCTCCTCTCCCCCTCCCCCGTGTCGGTTGGCAAACTAGACTCAGTGTAGTTAAGCTCCCTGCCTTTCTTGTATTCTTTCTTTTTTAAGACCAGTGAAAAGCTTTCTTTCTGGTTTTCCTTCATAAGCACTTTGCGAATTTTCATAAACAAAGCGCCTACAGATATAACCCTGCTGTCCTATACTGTAGTAAGAGCAAGGGAGAAAACAACGAACATTTTGTTGTTATTCATGCCTTACTCTTAAGTTGTCTGTCAAAAAGCGACATATAAAATCCTGCTATTCGAACTCGCCCGAGAAGAGACAACCCCGAGTCAACATTAACGCACACTTAATTGTCCGCAAAATCATGGAAACATGGTAAGAACGAGAAAGCTGGAAAAGTTTGTGGCATCATAACCCTCCATTGTGCACTGCGCTATCGAATTCTTTCATCCTTCTTTGAATTTCTGCCTTTGGATATTCTTCAAAGAGGTCATTCATGTTTGCAAAAATTTACACTGAGAGCGATTTCAACTTTGATACGGGTTTCCACTCTGTCTGACTCTATGCCTGTTTTACCAATGTTTAGGGCGAGTTTTGTAATTAGTTATTTTATTATCAGTATTTTCGTAAAATGCCTCATCAGTCCATTTCATGATGATAGATTCTCTCCTTTACTTGTGGCAGTCCTCGCGTCATTCCTTGCGTACTTCTGCTCCAGGAATTCTTGACGTTATGATTCACAGATGTCTCGCATGACACTTGACGGTCAGTTTGACAGGCAGGAGCGTATGGGAAGAACACGTCATGTGTGTTCGCTCCAAGTGCCAAAGCACCATACAGAACGCCACGTGCGGAAAAATAAAATTGGCTGATTTTCAGGTATTAAGCTTGAAAGCGTTCCTACGCCGACTCAAGAACATCTGTGGCCATGCGATTGCCCGTCCCTCTGAAAGGTAAGATCAATCGCTACAACAAAAAATGTCTACACAAAAACACGACGGAGAACTTTCATTGGAAGCAGTAGAAATGATGCGTAAGCCTGCAGCTTTCTTGAAGGAAGCTGGTTTCAGCTTAGGCTGGAACATTGTAGTCAAGTGTAATCAGCAAGGCTCTTTATTCTTCATACCCAATTACACCGTGTCTGCGACCGCAAAAATGCGTTTTTGAGGTGTAAAGTGGCGGAGACCCCATGGATCAACGTGGGAGGCGTTTCCTCTTCTCCTTTACGAACGGTCAAGTGTTCGTCAGAAAGCTTTTCGGTAATTAAGTTTTACCACCACCATCACCGCCATTAAATTTGTTTTACAGCAATTTTGTGTATGACTGAAAAGAGGCACAGTGATTGCCTTCATACTACGCATCTAGCTCGACGATAGTTTTGCGTTATGCAGCGCGCATAGCTCTAAAGAAGAGGCGGGAAGTAATTTGGAGGCAGCAACAAACGAATACCTTTCAATCCCTTTTTATTCTAGGACGCATTCAGCCCTCAGTATACTCCTGCTGTTGTGAACTCTTCCAAGGAGAGGACTACTCTCTGAAGTGCTGCTACTCTCCGATTGGCTGCAGCGTGCGCTTTTTTTTAAACGCTTTGGATAACTGCTACAAGCATTTCTGCAGAGTGTCCACTACGCCATGAATCATTATAATTTCTGTTTGGCATGAACGCGTTCATTATGCCATCCTTCGTCATTCTTTGGAAAAGCAGGGCAACCGCTACACACTTGCAAGGAACATTGTGCAGTTTCATGATGCTGTCACGGACGACTATGAAGAATTATACCTGAACTTTCTGTAATGGGAGTGAGCGGGTGGCTTGGAGCATTAGCTGATTCGCATCGTGTGACGGCTAGTTGTTCCAGTGCTGTTTTAAAACAATGTATTACCCATAATAATGCGATTCTTTTCTCGAAATAAAGCGGCCTAAGGCCACTTTCAAACGAAGCTTCAAGCAGCGGCTTGGCTTTGAGGTACAATAAACAAAAAAAAAGGCTTGGCTTTGAGGTAGAATACTGGGTTGGCACGCAGGGGGACTGGGTTCAAATCCCATAGTTTCGTTATTGTTTTTCATCTACATGTTTTTTTTTTTTTTTCATTTCGTGCCACAGTGCGTGGTTAAGGACAACGGCGGCGGCAGACAACTACAGCACACGCAACCCTTGTTGGTTTCTCCTACCTGCTTTCACTATAATCCGGCTCGTTGAAGACACCTGCGGCATCGAAAAACGCGCATATAGGTGCACTGTTGCAGGGCCTAACAAGAAACAAAGATTGAGTCTTATCATGGATTATAAGGGCCTCAACGTTTTCAACAGGTTCTTCACATCTATAGCAGAAAAGCCAGCGTCATGAGTTTCTCTCGAAATCGCATATGCTGCATCTTAACAGCTGTGACTCAGTTGCCCTATCAAGGGATACGGCTCAACTTTTCGACGCTCCGAGAAGCCACGTATCAGTTCTCGGAAATGTGTATGCTGGTTCGTCGTTACAGCGTGACGTCAGACAAAAGTTTAGGCCTTATCGGAGGTGATAAGGCCTCCAACTTTTTCGACTGCTTTTGACATCTACTGCGGGAGCGAACGTATCAGGGAACATTTAGCTCAGAAATGTGTATGCTGGTGCGTCGTTACAAGCTGTGACGTCAGACAAAAGTTAGCCTTACATGGGCCTCAACTTTTTCGACTGCTTTTCCGACATCCTACTGCGGGGAAGCGAACGTATCAGGGAACATTTAGCTCAGAAAATGTGTATGCTGGGTGCGTCGCTACAAGCAGTGACGTCAGACAAAAGTTTAGCCTTATCATGGCTGATAAGAGCCTCAACTTTCTCGACTGCTTTTCGACATCTACTGCGGGGAAGCGAACGTATCAGGGAACATTTAGCTCAGAAAATGTGTATGCTGGGTGCGTCGTTACAAGCAGTGACGTCAGAAAAAAGTTGGCCCTTATCATGGGTGATAAGGGCCAACTTATCATGGGTGATAAGGGCCTCAACTTTTTCGACTGCTTTTCGACATCTACTGCGGGGAAGCGAACGTATCAGGGAACATTTAGCTCAGAAAATGTGTATGCTGGGTGCGTCGTTACAAGCAGTGACGTCAGAAAAAAGTTGAGCCTTATCATGGGTGATAAGGGCCTCAACTTTTTCGACTGCTTTTCGACATCTACTGCGGGGAAGCGAACGTATCAGGGAACATTTAGCTCAGAAAATGTGTATGCTGGGTGCGTCGTTACAAGCAGTGACGTCAGACAAAAGTTGAGCCTTATCATGGGTGATAAGGGCCTCAACTTTTTCGACTGTATTTCGACATCTACTACGGGTAAGCGAACGTATCAGGGAATATTTAGCTCAAAAATGTGTATGTTGGGTGCGTCGTTACTAGCAGTGACGTCAGACAAAAGTTGGCCCTTATCGGAGGTGATAAGGGCCTCAACTTTTTCGACTGCTTTTTGACAGCTCTTGCGGGGAAGCCAACGTACCAAGGAACTTCTAGCTCTGAGAATGCGCCTACTGGGGGCATCGGGCTGACTTAGGCTTCAGATTTAATGCATGCAAATGTCATTACCCAATCACAGGCACGAAGGCAAAAAGCTAGATTAGAATTTCTTTATCAACTTTGGAACAAAAACACTAGCTGCAGATGCATCCCAGTATTCGACACCCTTAGCTTCCAGGCCGTCCCGACACCACCACTCTTACACCTTTACCCCATATTTTGCTCGTACTGACCTATTGAAGTATTATTATTTTTCCAAGAACAAATATTGAATGGAATCGTCTTACTAATACTTATGATCGGACTGCAAATTCACATCCTTTCACTTTCATTGCTTTTGTGTGGTTGCTCCTTTTTTTTCTTTTTGAACTAAGCAAACCGCATGGACTGCGAGTTCACAGTATTGAATAAATAATAATAATCAATAAATGAAGTCCTCAACTTTTACCGCTGCTTTTCGCTATCTATGGCGGTGAAGCCGGCGTATTAGAGAACCTTTGGCTCATACGATACGCAAACTTGGTGCATCGTTAGAAGCTGTGACGTAAAACAAAAATTTAGCCTTATCGGGGGTGATAGGGGCTTTAACTTTTTCGACTGCTTTTCGACATCTATTGCGGGAAAGCAATACATTAGTAATCGTTTACTTCAGAAGGCCCCTACTTAAGCAGAAGAGACTTGACCAAGGAAGGCGCACGAAAACAGACATATAGGAAAATGAGACTTGCAATATTTAGGCCGCCGGCGACAGCATGGTGCCAATTACAGACACCTCCACGAACCCAATTGCTTTAGTCACTGTTATCCAGACTTGTACTCAGACTGTGCAAGGAGCGGGCGGACCTCAAACACATTATCTCAGCTTGCTCCAACATTGTGAATAGGTGAAACAACACATTTATGAATGCGGAGCAGTGGGAAACCACGCTGCATAGCTCCAAAATAGACGACTGACTACAGGTCGTCAGGCAAGCTGAAGACGCCGCTAGTGCCCAATGACTCCTAGGAGGCTGTCATTTAAGGGAGGCAAGGTGAACTCCTGTCACACTTGCCATGCCGGTAAATGTTTCTAAGCTTGCTTTATTAAGAGAAATGTGCTTCTTTATCAATTCAAGAGCTACAATGAGAACGGTCAGGTATATTTTTGTTGTTTTGCTGTGTAGACGTGCAGCTTATAACGTGAGGAACTTGCAGACATTGGAGGTTGTTTCTATACAGCCAGGCATTGCTGTATGGTGGGGTAGCAGTTCAGGCGAACTTTTCCAAAGATCTCAATTCGCATGATTTCTGGTCCTGGTGTCGGCTTCGTTTAGTGGTGAGCGAAAAATCAGCGTTGTCCATCAGCTGGAAATAGATAAATAGGACAATAAAATAAATAAGAAAATCTTAGCTTTGAGCGAAAACCGAACCCATGAAGTGTGCGTGGCAAGCGAGGTTGTATACCATAGAGCCAGGCCAGCATTTTGTGGTGCTTTGGAAATAAGCCACCCATATATGGTCGGTGTGCGCCACAGAAAACAAAAAAAGATACGTTGGTTTCGGGGACGAATCGAACGCACATTGTCTGCGTGGCGAATGGAGGTTCTATTATACAGCGAGACTAGCGCTTAGCGGTGCTTCGGATACCAACTGAGCTGTTGGGACAGCTGTAACGCTCTGTCCAAACGCACCTTACGTCTTTCACACATTCTCGCACGTTGCTCTGGTTTGGCCCTTGCATGGGGTGTTTCCGCCGTCTGTGAACGTCGTGTGAAACATTTAGTTTAATTTCTTGGTAAGTCCGGTACTGTTGTTGATAACATTGCCATTTTAGAAGCTGTCATACATTGAGCTTTCCCTCTGATACGAATCGTCATTTGTCTTAAGAGTCCCTTTCAAGAAACCGTGCTCAATCATTGCATACATTCATCCCGCTGAGGACATTTAGGTATACAGCGTGTTTGGGCAGTGTATAGCACGAGAAACAAAAACACGCTCGAGATTGTTTTGATGTGCCTGCATAAGACGAAATTAGGTATTGTGGTGAAACCGTCCAAGAATCTAGGTTCAGGCAAAAAAAAAAAACAACCAATTTTTTAAAAACTACATGTCTTTATCCATAATTCTTTATCATGTTTTCTTAACGCTACAAACCGAAACGCACGCTCTGCAGCACTTTTAAAAATATATATAACCATAACCGCACAGCTGTTATAGCAATGCATGTTCTTATGGCTAAATATTCACAGCCACTCCCAAAACTTTCATATCAGGCAGACAGGCGAGGAGGTGACGCATTGATCGCACAAGGCACTGCAGTAGTCAATAAACTTCCGCTGAATTTTTTTTCTCAAATTTATTCCCGTGACAATATGACCATGCACTTACCTCGTCGACTTCCACAGATTGGGGCGCTCTTCTTTCAGTCACTGGCAGAGTATGGGAAGGTGCATTTATCACCCAGACAAGAAAGGCCACATGCTTTCTTTCTGTGTTCGTTTTCAGTGTCTCCAGAAAGCATACTGTGACACGTATCAGTCTTATTCCCAACTGCTCACGTGAATTATCGCGACATTGTTTACCATGCACAAATTTACATCTTCTAAGGGCAGCGTGACAGCCACATAAAAAATTGTGAGAACTGGGCACTAAGGACACTGCTCGTGACAGACAGACAAAGCAAATGTGAATGTTCAGTCTTACGAACTTTATTGACATGCGAGAATTGCCTTTCTGGGGATGAACTACATACACAACGATCGGTTGCCCTATTTAGAGCAGCGGCGGTGGGCGATGCTCGCTGTGCGGAAGGCAGGTATACGTAACAGTGAGGGCACATGAAGTGTATATTACTTCCTCTAGTTCTGTGGGTGGGAAGTAACGTTTCGCAGCTAGTGGGGACTTCAGCGAGGACTTCCAACTGCTGCACATTATAACACGGCATGAGTATACTGGGTTCAACGGTGTAACTATAGGAACACTAGGGAACAGTCATTTGCGTCCTTCTGCGCAACACTGAACACAGTCTTTTTTGCGGATGCGCAAGTAGTGTTCGAGGTTCGACGAGACGGTAGTACAAGCTTAAGCTACTTCCCTGCGAAAAATACTACGGGGAGAAAACGCCATGCTATAGCGATGACGTCATACTGCTAAGAACCGGTGTGCAACGCTAACGCATCTTCACGTCGGCATGGGCTAGCAACGTGGAGTGTTCTTTAACGTGGATTTTCATCGCACAGAACATTTTTTCTGGATACTCAAATGAGAGTTTGGACTGTATACCACGTCGCTTGTTTTGATGCAGAACTACAATATGCAGGGTGGGGTAGAGGGTAATATAAATGAATGGATACAAGCTTCTAAGGGTCCAAGCCGATGCAAGATGCTTCAACTATTCTGTGAAAAGAAGTCCGCATGGCAGAATGCCGCGCGTTACATAGTTCAAGCTTTTTTTTTTCTTCTCCCACTTGTGCACAATCTCGACACCTGCGAAAAAAAAAAAACTTTACCAAGATTGCAGTTGGCATCCCATGACTCCATGTCGCTCTTTTTTTTTCTTTTTTTTCAGACAGCTTCGATACTGTCAAAAAATGAGTCTTTAAGGGCTGCAAAGCACGCGGCTGAAAAAAAATATAGCTGACTGTTTAAAGTTACACACTAAAATTCTAATCACCTGTAGCAGTCGTTGGCTAACACGCACAATACGAGAAAGCACGACACGAGCGTAGACTCCGCCAGGTGGCAGTCGCTTGCTGAACCGACGATGCTTTTGCTTCTCGTCGAAGACACCGATGAGTCGTTCTCAACCGATTTACGCTGGTTAAGAATAACCTCAACGTCGTTAGTTATTGACGAGACCTCGTCCCGAATTGCATGTTGGTCGGGACGGGTATCGGACGAAAATTCGTCAGAGTGGCCCAGACCGCCGGTCGCGTCAGCGTCATCGTCGTCGTCGACGTTAGGATGACGCACAGGCGGCACAGTCGTTCCCTCGTGTCCCACGGCCGGTCTCTCGTAGTCCTCCGCGCACCCCAGCTGCTTGAGGCTTAATCGGACCACCTTGTTGTTGGCAGTAACGTTGGCTGGCGCGGCAGCGCCATTCTCGAACTCGCATTTGATGTGGCGCAGTTCGCGACGGAATTTCGCGTTGCGGGTGGCGTTCACCAGGTGCAGTATCCATGACAGCCGACAGTCGCAGCTGAACTTGTTGCCTGCGTTAGAAAAAGAAAGCAGATAACAAATACATTCAATATTCCTCGAGACCATCGACAACGGTAATTTCACAGGGTCTGTATTTCTTGATTTCACGAAAGCCTTTGATACCATTAGTCATAATATTTTATTTAGCAAGTTAGAGTCCTTGGGTATCACTGGCCCATCCTTGACCTTCATAAAAAACTACCTTCTTGATCGTGAACAATCAGTCTGCATTGGGGGGGTTAATTCTAATGTTAAAATAATTAATCAAGGGGTCCCACAGGGTTCTATTCTTGGACCCTTACTGTTTTGTATCTATATTAATGATTTGCCTGACTGCCTTCAAGATTCTAAAGTTATTCTTTACGCTGATAATACGACCATTTCCATCTCGCATAAATCATTACCTACTCTGATCAATATGTTGAATAAAGAACTGACTAATGTCGTTGAATGGTGTCGCTTAAACAACTTAATTTTAAACCCGCTCATAACTCAGTTCATGGTTTCTAAAACATCACAAAAAATGCTACCTTTCATTCCACAAGTGCTCATTGACAATCATTTCATTCCTGCGTCTAACTGTGTGTGTTTTCTGGGCGTAAAATTAGACCCTCATTTAAATTTCACCAATCATATTCTTTACGTCAAACAAAAAACAGCATTTGGTATAAGATCACTCATCAAATCTCGTCCTTTTTTTCACTTGAAGCCTTATTGTCTTTATACTTTGCATTCATACATAGTCACATCACCTATGGCATTACATCATGGGGAAATACATATAACACTCATATTTCGTCTGTACAGCACATTCAGAATCAGGCCATTCGCATTATTACCAACAGTTCATTTTATTCTAATGCTACCCCGCTCCTTCCGGCTAACTGTATTCTTACAGTGTCTGGCTTATTTAATTTTCACTTAATCATATTGTTATATAAACAACTTAACAAACAGCTTGTGTTTGATATTATCGATGCTAGTTTACTCACTAACATCAATAGCACTAGATTCGCCCACAGTCACAACTTCCTTTTACCTAAATGTAACACCAATTATGGCAAAATGACGTCCGCCTTCGCGGTCATTAAATTGTGGAATAACCTGCCCTATACACTAAAATCATCATCAACTTTTCATGCATTCAAACGTGAACTTAAAAACTTCATCTTGCATAACTAGGTTAACAACGATGATTACTTAACGATTGTTATGTATCCGGGCATGAAATTGGTAAGCCTTTGCAAGTTTAGATTATTGCTTTATGGCGTGATTATGTTTTACTTGTATAACTTATTACTATTGTTCTTGTGTCGCATTCTGACTGCCTTTTTTGTTTACTTGATGTTATTTTATGTAAGTTCATTGTTTACTTTTCACTTATGTTGCGTATTTTACGTGCTGTTATAATTATTATTTTATTGTTATTGTTAACCGAGGGTCCCACTGCAGTCGCTTGACTTTGGGACCCTCGTTTGCATACTACATTCTACAAATTTTGTATTTTGAATGAATGAATAAACTGAACTGAACTGAGAGAGGACACGTTCACGTGCTTGGCTCCCTCTCTTATCACCCGTGTATACATAGGAGTAAGAGCCCTTCGGAAGAAAGACGAGGCGAGGAAAGACCACGCTCGAAATGGCATGAGCACGTGCACGTGCAGAGTCCCGAATGCAAAGATAGCATAGTTTTGCATAGCTTTGATCACACCATAAGTTTTACCTGTACTCTCACTTTGTTGGTTCGTAACTCAATATCATGCATGCAGGTCATATCGACGCATTTGCAGTTCGTATTCGTAGTGCCTTCCAAGCTGATGTATACCAACTGCAAGTCTACCTCGCACTTCTTGTCCGCTAACAGGTTTCTTTCTATACTCCGTTTATAGTTCAATTTTTCACCTTCTCTAAAGTGCGCAGGTTTTATTTACAGTTTTAAAAAAGATGCTGGATGTCATAGTAGTAATGGCACTGTTTGTACCTCTCCAACTTATCTCCCTGGCAAATATGGCTGCGTTTTTTTTTTTCGTGAGAGAATGCAATATTTCGGTGCACAATTGGGTCTTAAGTGAACAACAAAAGTATACTTCACAGTTCAAGCATATCGAACACCCAGTCTGCTCCCTTCGCCTGCGTCACGACTCCGTGACATCTACAAATACAGATATTTCACGTGGCATTTTCCTAATTATCCTGCAAGCGGTGGTAATCAGGCAAACATTCAAATATATTTTAAAAATAGGGCAACCAATCTGTGCTTCCGGAGCCGTGTGATCCCGTGCCACACAGGCAAACGTTGTACCATGCCTCGAATCCCTCGCACAGCAGTTGTCTTTTCACCCGTTTCCCTGCCAGAATAAGCAATTAGTTTGACTATAGTGGTTACACCACTCCATGCAAACGCACTTCCGGTAATGTGTAACTCATCCGGTTTAATATTTAACAATGTAGCATGTGCCAAGCGATCAACTTAAGGTGTTAGGTAAAAGCCATTCTGCAAAACAGTGTGGTCTCGCACTCGATCATGGCTCGAAAGGCCGTCACAGAATGCATTTTTGTCCTAGACAAACAGTCTTCTATACTACCTCTCTCTCTCTCTCACACAAATATATATATATATATATATATATATATATATATATATATAGAGAGAGAGAGAGAGAGAGAGAGAGATATTCACAGGCTTTTGCGTGCGGCAGAACCCACAAGTTGAGGACGGATATATATATATATATATATATATATATATATATATATATATATATATATATATATATATATATATATATATATATATATATATAGAGAGAGAGAGAGAGAGAGAGAGAGAGAGAGAGAGAGGAGAGAGAGAGAGAGATATTCACAGGCTTTTGCGTGCGGCAGAACCCACAAGTTGAGAACGTGAGTGGCTTGTGTACCGACGCACTTTGAGTCGTCCATCCTGCGGAAGCCAAAGCACTTCGCAAGGCGGCAAGAATTTTTTATTTTTTTATTATTATTTTTTTTTTGTCGAAAAGCGCGCGCGCCGAGGGAGGCTGAAAGCCGTGCGGTGCGTAAAGCGAGCGCCCGGCGCAGAAACAGGATATTCGTGTCAGCTAGCGACGCTTTTCCCCGCATCGTCGCTGAAGGGTGGTGACGCTGGTTATGGTCAGAACCCTGCATGTGGTCAGTCCTGTCGTTCTCATTTTTTTTTCTCGTGGCCCACTATTCTGTACGTGTGCCCGTGTGGACAACGCAAAGTGCCTTCGCGTATGAAAATACATAGCCTTCCTTTCGTTTAGCACGCTCGGGTTTTTTGTTGTTGTTGTTGTTGTCGTTGTTGTTGTTGTCTGAACATCAGAGTCCTGCCGTCCAGAAAGCGATGTTTGTGTGTTAAAAATGACCGAAACTTTGCCAGCACTTTTGGCGAGGTTTCTTTGCCTTGATTTTGTATCGTTATACTGAACCATGTTCTAGCAGCGAATGATGTCCACACGAAACAGCACCGCCCTTTTAATATTTTATGCTGAGAGAAACAAGAAAGGACTTTCCAGGAGAATGAAGAAAAATATAGATCCTGGGAATGATCGAGTGCGAAATTAAAACAAAATAAAAAATACAGCACAATGTGTACTCTTATATGCATGGCAACGAGAAATATTTCGTGCAAACCGGAACGCAGAGCTCTGTTTTTTTTTTCCTTTTGTTCTATGCCATGCCCCAATTTATGCTGTCTCCGCGTAAAACAGGATGAATTTATGTCTACAACGACTGCCTAGCTCTATTGTTTATTGCGCCATTAATTATTCACTCAACATCCCGAGTGTCGCACAACCTTGATTCGTTTTCAGACATTCATGTAGTTCCGTTGTTCACCACGTAATAAATTTTACTTTGCACAACACCGTTCGCCGGCGCGTAGTACAGTTTACATCGCACAAAAAGCCGAAGTAAAAGCAGGGGTTCTGTAGGAAACTGAAGTAAGGCCAGTATAATCATGCTCCCTCAAACTGCAATGAATGCTGGGAGGAAAAAATGATGATCAACACAGAATCGTGGCAAAGTGTATAGTCATAACGTTGGTATCGTCCTCCTTGAAGCTGTTCAACTCTTGCCGCTGAGTCTCGGTCACTCGTTAACAACCCAACCTAATAAAATCGCGAAATAAAGCAACACATAATTTCAATCTCGGATTAAAAAGTGGATGGGAAAGATACGATTAAAGTGAAATGATGACACGTCTTATGTTGGCGTAAGCCGAGCATACCGTTTTAGGCGACGGGTATGCTACATCGTTGCGTGCACCGGTTAGGCATACATCTGCGTACAATCCAGTCTAAAGCAGATGCATTCGTAAAGCTTGTAGTTGAATTTTGCAGCATCGGGGTCTACGCAGAAGCCATCGAGCGGGGACATCCATGTATTTTCGGAAAAACATGCATTTGTCAATTTTACATGCAGCCGTCAGGAAAGGGAACAAGCGAGCGCGTGGCAAACAGCCTCGAACTACTCATGTGGCTCGGAGCAGTGGCGAAATGTGTAAATAAAGGGAGAGAGTGGTCCCATTCTTTTAGGGGCGAAGCTCCTTATAAAGGCACCCGTTCGTCCCCCGTAGTATGTAACAAGTATTACATTTTGACCTCGAAGGTGGTGCCGGTGAGAGACTTCTTCTGTGCGTTGTTGAACAACAAAAAATAAGGCTCAATGTACATGTCAATAGCTGCTAATGGGGAATGAGAGACAGGAGCATTCGGCTTTTAGTTAACGCGCAGGCTGCGATCACCATTAGCAGCCATTGGCATGTACATTGAGCACTATCTGACAAGAAAGGGTTGCTACGTTATACTCGCTGGGTGTAACTTCCTTAGCTTTAGAAAGGTTTAGCGAGCGTTGAGCCGCAGTGCCATGAATACAGTGAACTTGTATATACCATGAATGAACTCGAGGTGGTTAAAAATGGGAAGTCGATACGAAGCGCAAGCCGTAAAGAAGTAAAACCCGAATTCTCCGCCTCTCATTTCCCATTAGCA